CCATTCTGGTCCAATACCTTTTGACATCTATCTGGTAGTAGCATGATTCCACGCTCATAAAATTTTTCTTCTTTACTGGTAAACAACTGATCCAGGTGATTTTTGACCTCATTTGAAGTAAAGGTTTTACCGTCTAAATATTTTTGTAGTGACCGAAAGAAATAATAATCAGAAGATTTGGCAGTATATCCCACCCAAGCTATAAAAGCTTTGACGAGTTATCAAACTTGTATGAGGTCTCGCGTTATCTTGGTGGAACACTACACCTTTTCTATTGATCAATTCTAACTAAATGAGACTAGGAGTAACGTGTGGTCTAAAAGACTTGACTGATAACTGATTTATAATTACGCAACTGATTGATATCCCTACGTTAACTTTTGCTAAAAACTCTGTAAAGGACTGTCTCAAGACAGCCTCTGTACCCTTATTTAATCCCAGCAGTCTCTCTTCTTATTCATAAATTATCCGTCCATACAATCTTTGCACGTGGTCACTTGTGCTTCCATGTGCTCCAAATATCACCCTGAACAATCCCCTGTACAAACCCCATCGTCTTCTAGACAACCAGTATAGAAATATGAAATCATTTTTCTACCACCCAGTAAAATATCTGAAAAATCGTAATTTCTTAAGAAATATTTTACCAGAATTTCAAACGATGTATATTGCACAAAATAGTTTATTAATTATTACTCTATTCCGGAATAAATCATCAGCCAGGTAGGCCCAAGTGGTTCTCGCACTCACTCTCAAATCCTAGCATCCCCTATTTATTTATTTATTTATTTATTCATTTGTGTTTCATATCCTTTTTCCATCGTCTACAGTATCGCGTGAGACTTATAGTTAGGGAAATCGGGCCGAACACGAATATTCTGGATGAGAGGCGTGGTTTGCAGGCCCAGTGTAAACACGAGTGAGTCGGGCTCCTAGTTAATTTTCGCTCAGTTTCGTGTTATTCTTCGCTGTGTTAGGACGACGTGGCTCGACGTGTGACGGGCTCTGTTGTTGATCAAGGTACGGCCATCGCGACTGAAGTCATAGAATAAGAGGTCAATATACTAGATTTAAGAATGTGTAATGTAGTACTGAATATATCATACATAGATAATAATAATTAACTCTTTCGCGACGGGTACTGTATATATACGTCAGTCGCTTAATGCATCACAGCGGCTCACGTCGTTGCGCCATCGCGAAAGGCTTAAGCTTGTTGGTATTTTGGGAAGATGGACTACCCTGGCAATCCGGAGCTCATTTTCTATATCTCAGCACCCGATCGTCTTTTGTCTTCATAAGGGGGGCACGCGCCGCGGAACGTTCTCGATGGCTCAGAGCTTTCTAGAACCGTGATCCACGACACGTACCCCTGAGCGATTTGTGACTAGCCATCGAATCCTCTCGATCTTTTGAGGTCCACACAGTATTACTTAACCCTCTGCACTCGAAGATTTTTTCGTGGTGAAAAATAGCAACTAGAAGTGTGACAGTCTTTATTTACATGGCGTCACTCTGCATCGAGATCTATCCTTGCTCCGAGGAATCGTCATTGAGTGACGCAATGGATCGTCATAGGCCCTATAAAAATCCAGCTGAAGGTTTCGACGACACACTTTTTGACAGTCCACCGTCTGCATAGAAGGCTTCGAGTCTCCGTATATTTTATACCGCCAAGAAATGTAGAATATAACCAGAATCAAAAATTCGTTTCGACTAATTACATTCAGGCTGATGCTTGAACATTGCAACTCGCTCGTGGAGTTTCACGGGGTTGTAAGGCCCGTTACGCTGATGCGGCAATGTTCCTGGGATGCGGCCCACTCTAACTTGATAGAGATAGACCTGGTTGGTGTTGAACTGCAAGGAGTTCTATAGTAGTAGACAGTCTCCTGCGCTGAGTGTTGGTGGGTCTCGATTGCTGATGTTGTGGTCGTGATGGAGTTTAGAGAGAATCTTGATGTGGTCGTGATGGAGGTTTTACTGAGAATCTTCTTGCGAATGCCTTGTCGGTAGTTTTATAAGGATCGACTGTCTTCTCATTGGTTGGTATGATATTGGGAGTGTATGCTAACTTCAGCGTCTTTCGGTGGTGTTGGTTGTTTAAACATTTGGGTTCTTATGCCTGTCGTCTAGAGAATAATATATGGGTCCTTGTCACGGTTTATCCTAGCGGTGGTTTAGGTGACACTGAGCATGTGCAAGTGAAAGGACCCTTGCAATAGAGGCATAAAACAGGCCTCCACTTGACTTGGGACATTGCGGTCCTAGGGCCGCAACAAACACCCGAGTAGAGTCATAATGCAAATGAATTAAAGTAATCCGAAGCTGATACAAGGACACCTAGATTTTACTCGATAAACGTCTCCTCGTCCTGGTACCCCTTCGAAGGTCTCGCAGTTCCTCTTCTCGTCTAATTTCGAGTCCCTTCCGTGGGTCCTGGAGCCTTTAATAAGCGTAATACCTCACGATCGTGTCTGCCATTCGCCATTCGTTGCCGACGAGCGAAACGGAAGTAGCCTGTCTCCTGTATCCGAGGCCACATTGTTTACCGGGAAACAATGCGCGCAATTTGCGCGCGAATCTTAAGTGGCAGCAGGGTGAAAACTTTCCCAACAGTCGCTGGAACTTCTCCTTTGGTACGCTTGCACGGGGATGGGGGAAAAAATTCGCGGAAGGAATTTCGATCGTATTGTTTCTGCCGAAGTGAAAGCGCCTCGATCTGTTCTGTCCAACAGACGTTCCATTATCATACCTCGACAAAGCCTCGTCCAAAGTCACGGTCGATTGTTCCACTACGAAGGAAGTATTCCTTGTCGGGGATTATCGAGTCTTTGCTTTGAGTGCACGGTTATTGATGACACGATTACGTCCCGCCGTCAAGCTGATCGACCGTTCATTCAGGAATGAAACTTGATTAATAATATTCCATCCCAAGCTTCTTCGACACTCTATTAATTCACTTATTTTGTAAAGTACGTAGGAGAGAAGATGCAAATTGTTCTTTTACCTTGTCTCGTTTTTCTCCTGCTCTTTTATCCGCCTTCGAAGGTGTCTTTAATCATCTTCAGAACTGTCAACCTTGGCATTAAGTCCTTCAACTCGATGGACGTAAGCTGTCGGTTCAAGAGTGTATAGGGTAAGAAAATTATTATATATAATGTTAAAGAATTATAATGATATAATTCGTAGACATGATTTGGGGGACCGAAGGAACACGAATTAAAATTAAAGGTCTTCCTGTCGTAGAAGGTTTATTCTTTACATATTTCACTCTGCTTAAGGGTCTTTTCTGGCTCTTCCCTCTGTCGATGCTCCTCGCTTTCGATCGTTTCATGATGATATTTTAACGCATTTTAACCTTTTGCATTCGGTGGAGAAATAGCAATTCATAAATTTTCTGCTATCAAGTCAAGGATAATTCTTAACACATTGCTTAGAAATACCGTATAGAAATCTCTAAGACATATGTAAGAGACCACACGTTTTGACAAGACAGTGTTGATATCTAAGATCCTTAACAGATGGCGCGCGAAACGCGATAAAACTCGTGAGCGGTATGTGTTAAAATAATAAAATAGTAAGTAAATTTAAATTAATAGTGAATAAATAGTAAAATAGTTAAAATAGTAAATAAGAAATCGTATATGAAGTAACACGTTGAATTATTTTGAATTAATATATATTAATTAACTCAAAAGTTTATTAAATGGCGTCTGAAAATGGCCACTCGAGTGCAAAGAAATCACATTTCATGAAAATTAAGTCCGAGAGAATTTGTCATAGGAGAATATTAAGAATCTTCAACGGTAATTTCTGATGAAAAATTGTATTTCTCAAACCTGAGTAGGGCGTAAAAATTAAATAATACGCTATCTCGAGCATCGTCAAGTGGTCGAAGTGTCTTAACCTAGTAAACGCGACATCTTGTCATTCGCCATAAAATCGCCTTCTCGTCAACGTCCAGATATAAACCAGCTTACTCGAAACCTTCCTCGAACGATTCCATTATGTCATATAATTCATTAATTCTATTACAAACCATATTCTGAAAAGTTGTACACTTCATTCAAAAACGAGGTTTAAAAATTAAATAATGCGGTTCATCGAAAATTGCCAACCCTGTAATGGCACCAATGCAGTAGAAAAGACCACAAATCTCCAATGCAAATTTACAATACAAATTTGCATCCTTCATTCAGAAACGAGGTTTAAATATTAATTAACACGATATTTCCAAAATTTCCAAACCCATAGTAGCACCAATCCACTACGTAGAATTATAAACCTTCAATGGAGATTTACGATAAAATGTCGTATCCTTCAATGAGAACCAAGATTTAAAAATTAAATAACACGATATTTCGAAAATTGCTAACCTCATGATACCATCAATGCAGTACAAAAGCCTTACAAACCTCCAATGCAAATTTGCAATGAAAAATCGTATCCTCCATTCAGAAACGAGGATTAAAAATTATATAGTACGATATTCCAAAAATTTTCAACCCGAATGCAACCCCATAATACCACCAATACAGTACAAAAGCCTAGAAACCCCCAATGCAAATTTGCAACGAAAAGTCGTATCTTCCAATGAGAACCGAGATTTAAAAATTAAATAACACGATATTTCGAAAATTGCCAAGCCCAGTACGTGTTTACATTCGCAACATGGCGTCATCCGCCATAAAACCGTCTCCTCGTCAACGTCCAGATACAAACCCGTTTACCCTAAACCCTCCTCGAACGATTCCATTCTCATAATCATCCTACCTCTCGCGTACTCCGGCGTTGTATATCACACTTGGGAATTCACTTGCTGTCGCGTTGAATCTTAGCAGGGCGGAGGTTCGATTTGTTCCAATTACAGGGAGGGATGCCGTAAAATCTGCGAACAGGGTGGTTTCCTCGCGTCGTCTATCGCGTGGTGTACGTGTATAATCGATGTTTACCCCGGGGAATTTCACGGCGTCTAACTGTCGCGTGACTCATTTCAGGCGGCGGTCTGGCGCGGCCGAAGATGACACTGAATCTGGACGCTGGAAACGGGGCGAACAACAGCGGGAACACCGGTCAGCTAGCCCCGAAAAAACCAGGGGGTCTGAGCCTAGGATTGCCACTGGAGATTAGCACCGCCCGCGGATCCGCCGATCTCGTTGACGTCGAGCTCCCTCTGGAAAGACAAGGGTACGTCCTGCGGACTTCATCGCTTGCGTAACTTTGTCGCCAGTGTGTCTGGATCCTGCTTTCGTCGAGCCATCGGCCTTTCCCGAGGTGTTCCGTCCCGGAGAGCGTGTCCATAGCACATAACTCTTACTTTAATTTTTGATAATTTTATAGACTGTATTATTTTGCATTACGACTGTTACGCCGAGGGTTAGACGTGCCTCGCAGCCCTCTCAGAGGATTAAGTCATATATCTGTATGCGAAAGTTCAGAAAATTTACAAGTACCGGACCCAACAGATTGGACTCACGTGCAACAGACCTACCAAGGCGATGGACACCACTTGTAAATCACGTCATTGACAATCGAAAATCGGCTCCTTGACAGTTCTCTACTCCTCAGCCAAAGGTCCTTCCGTCACACCCTCTGTCCAATCAAAAATTTTTACTTTTCCTTCACTAATATGTATCCTAACCAATCAGAACCAAACTGGAGAAAACACCGGACAGGACACGACGAGACACAAGACAGACCAAAATTGAGAAGTCGGTTCTTCTCACCAATCACTGAAACATCGTACATATACTTATAAACGCGTGTTCGAAACGATACTCCGATAAACGTCTCTACTATAACTATTATATACTTTTACTGTAAATAAACAATCTATTTTAACAACACACTAGGGATCCTTTATATTACAAAACTAATCACGCAATATTAATTTGGCGCGTGATAAGCGTTCTTGGAAATCGAAGAGATTCGATACATAGGACGTTACATGAGGAATCTTCCCTTCTCGTGGAACTTGCGAAGATTTTTATTGTAAATTCGAGAGAGACTATCGAGAATATGAAAAATAAATGAATGTCCTGTGCATCGAAGGTGTGAGAGAAGACGGTGAAATAGATCATTGAAAATTGAGGTTAGAGTTCTAGGCTAGATGCTAATGTTATATGTATTTAACACATTGCGTACGGTGACGAGATATTTTGTCTTTAGTAAGCTAAATGTTGTGGCTCGGCGACGAGATATCTCGTTTCCAGGTTTCTTCGACTTAATCGATGATTTAAGGAATTAAGAATAGATTTTCTTGTTACGTTATCAGGGTAACGAAGTCTCGCGTATTCTGCTTACAAATGGTTAGCGAAATAAGTGAATGTCAACATTCCAAGAGCGTAAAAATTTGTTTAATATTTTTAACACTTTGACTGCCATGTTGGTCATATATGACTGGTCATAGTTTCTTCTGTGACACCACAATGGTCATTGATATCCTGAGCGCTTGAACTACTTACAATTGTAAAAATTGAATGACAATTGACAGTTAGTTGACTGTCAATCGTTATTAAAGCGCCACTAGTGGTCACCCGTGATCGCCAATAAGATAAACATTCCATTGGATAAGAATATTGTATCACCAATTTATTGTTACTATTATTTTGCCATTATATGCTTCGAATAATCAAAGTACACCTGTGGCGTCCTGAGTGAAACATGTAATTTTGGCATGGCAGTCAAAGAGTTAATATATTTCTGGATGGCCAAAAAATTGCGGGCCCTGGAAGCGTGAGCAGAGTGCCATACGCAGTGTGTTGACATATTAAGCAGGGCTGATGAGTTAACTTGTCATTGGAAAGTACAGGATGTGCAATCAGAATGTGCAATCTGAATTTAATTTTTAATTTTTATCGCATTGTATGGAAAGATCGTGCCGATTTTTAGTAGGTGGTGTAAGGACAGGTCTAAATATCAATCAGAACAATTGAAAACAAATGACATGAGTACATATAGTAAAAGACTGTACTTCAAATATTTTTGGAAAAAAATTTGGTTACGATAGGTTAATTTTTGTCAATTTTATACGCCTTTTAATGTTGAAGAAAATCAAGTTCATTTTCAATTTTCCTTTAAAATCGGCACGATCTTTCCAGACAATCCAATAATTTTCGTTTCAATTGTTCACTTATTGAAGAACACCTATGTCTAACAGAATTTAGACAATAGTATAGTCAAACAATATAGAATTATTATTTAATAATCATGTATAATGCAAGCTAGAAAATTTATTATTTGTTCTGGGAATGAATTCTGTGGGAGTTAAATCATCCGTGCAAATTTTCTGTGGTAGGTGCTGCGGAAATAAGCAAATTCCCAAGTTAAATATTAGTCTGGAGGAAATATTTAACTATTTAGTTTCGGTAGCTATTGTTCATGGTGTCATTGGAGTTATTTTCTCATAGTCTTCTCTCACCTTGCTTGTGTAAATATTTTAAATGGGGTATTGGAATTTCTGGATGCTTTTAAAAATCTCCATTGCAGTTCGAAATAAATAATTCTTTCCCCTTCTTGCAGGTGGTACCATGGATCCATTACAAGAATCGAGGCGGAAGCTGTCCTGAGACTCCTGAGAGAAGGAAGTTACTTGGTGAGGAACAGCGAATCAACCAAACAAGATTATTCCTTATCCCTGAAGTAAGTTCACGACAGTGATACATTGTAATCAATACTCTCCTAACAAGTAGAAAAAGGAGGTAAAATTTTGTTGATAAGGAGAGAAAGAAATTTCTGTTAAAAATATAAAATTGTTATTCCCTTTATAAATTCGCATTTTACTACAATATTGGTAGAAAATGTTGTAATCTGTATGCTGCAATAATTCAAGAGGGAATTACAATTTCATGCACACGATGAGTTTAATCTAGATTCAATTTTGCTGCAGCAGAAATTGCTTTGTATTCCGTACACGAAGGTATACTGTTTTAATTTTCACGTATTGCAGAATTTGGTACATGAAAAAAGTTGAAAATAATCTGACAAAATGTGTTTTTCACTTTACTGAATATCGTATTTACATTTTCAGAAGTGCCCGTGGTTTCATGCATATGCGCATCCAAAAGAACGAAGAACTGAACGCGTACATTCTGGGTCAGTTCAGCAAACCGTTCGACAGCATCCCGGAAATGGTTCGTCACTTCAGCGTGAACCGTCTTCCGATACGTGGCGCCGAACACATGTGTCTTCTGCATCCAGTCATAGCTCAGCTTTTGTAGCGCATCTATCGTAGCGCCGTTTAAGGTGCTTCCCATTTTTTGATATCCCTTTTACCTTCAAAGAATACTCACAAAACCTGAACAGTACTCTGAAAGTTGTTTATAAGAAGGAAAGAAAAGCGAAGAGAAGAATGAGAGGGAATTGTTGTGCATGGGAAACGATATTCTACGAGAAAATCTAGAGTACACACGAGACACTTGGTACTTCCATTGAAATTTTCATTCTAGTCTCGCGTTCCAATTTTGAGGATGTATTGCGACTAATTTTTTCGAGCTTCCGAGGTGAATCGAGAGCAAAACGAGAGAGAGCAGCGATTGAATCGATTGAGGTAGACGAAACTATTCACGGGAATAACACAGTACAAAGATTGTAATCAGTGAAAAGTTTCTGTAGGATTAGCAAGCGACCTTGAAGTTAATCCTGTTGGTTTACGTAATCCCTTAACGATCGCAACGACGCTTACCCTGCGTCGAATGGTAGCTTTATTAGCCGCGAGAAGGATTAGTTGACCTAAGATGTTAATTGTGCAACGCTTTGAAGATATTATCCCGACCCTAGCGACGAGCTTTCGTTGTTCCATATCGGACACAATAGCAAAATGAAAAGCGTTTTTGTACATGAGACATGCGTTCAAGGATCGCATCAGATATTCGAGGAACATTTCATATAGAATCTGTGTCGTCTTCCCCATAACAGCATCGCGCAAATCTACCTCTTTGTTAGAGGTGTGTGTACTTTAATTTCGAGAAAAGGATCAATTCCTTGAACCTAATTGATCTGTAAAGTGGCTTTTATAAAAGTAGTTGGTTGCATAACGAAAGGGAGGACTTGTTGGAGATTGTAAGAAAGAAAGAAAAAAGAAACTCTGGATTTTCAAAAGGATTCTAATGTCTAGGAAACGTATGTAATGTTTATGTGTATAAGAAATTGTCAAGAGTCTTGATGGTCTGAGATGACAGAGCGTTTTATTGCGGGGAAAGCAGAGTTCGGGGAAACAGCGCAAGAGCTTTACAAAATGGTTGTTCCTTGTGCTCGTGGCTCGCAGAGCCGCGAGCTTTGTGTAAGAAACTATCGATGGGATCAGAATTGTCGTGCTACAAGCTGATAATCTAGCGAGGTGTGAGATAATACGTACTTAGGTTTAGATAGACACGTAGATGGTCGACGTGGCCTCTACGAAAGAGCTGGAAGCCAAAGAAAAGAACTACTAAGTCGTGTTTTCGTTCGTGCGAGGAAAAGCAAGAGGAAGGAGGAAGTGAACGAAGTAACGCGGTTACGGCCGCGGTTTAATTGCCAAAGTTTACCGCTAATCGTGTAATCATTTAGTCAGGGTTTAGTTGTTCGTCATCGTTGATAAGCGATTAGGCTCGGACCAGTAAATTGATCGACAGTTACTTTACGTTGGTACTGCGAATCGAAAACGATAAGAAAAGAGAGAAAGGACGCGAAGATGATGATAATGATAATGCTTTTTCGTCCGGGCTGACCAGTAAGGAAGTGCAAGTCGAAACGGGAAAGAGGAAGCGAATAAAGATGATCGAGGTCAGCCAATCCGAACCATCGATGGCTCGTCACTCGAGTCATCCGTCCGACAGTCTCTTATTTTTGGGAGATTTTTGTGAGAGGAGGCAACCGATACATATTTTTTCATGTGATATGAATTTGTTACAGAGATAGCCTAGTTTCACCTGTGATCTGTTACTTAGTTCCCTTTATCCATGTCTGTTGGTCGCTGTGTGCAATATTCTCGTACGTACGATTATGATAACGATAATAATAATACTAATAATAATGCTAGCGTAATAGTAATAACGATTAATGATAACGTTAACGATTAAGTCGCTATTGTAATTGGGTAATCAGCAACGACGCGTAATTAGGCGCGACACGAGAGACGTCCGTGGTGTTACAATAATTATTTCCAGGTAAGGATTCGATTCGCAACGGTTGTGAACGAGTTTTCTGTTGGTCATCTAGTCCATGGTGGCACGTAACCAAAGATTTTACTTCTCATTGATTAGAAGATCTAGAACCCACATCACACGTAAGCGAGTGCCATAAAGTTCAGCCGGTAGAATTTTTCATGATTTCCGTAGTCATTGTTTGGCTATCGGTGGATACGTTCCATCCCAATTTGTTGATTTCAGTGGAAATCACGCGTGATCGTGATACTAGTCGTAGCGTATTTATTTGATTAATTTCATACCTGTACTTACCAACGTTGTATTCGGCACTCTCTACCATTCCTTTTTCATTAGGTTGAGTGTAATTACATACACGTTGTACTTTAAGCTGCCAGTATTATTAACTGTAATCGATAATGCATATCCATGTTAATATTTAAGACATTATATTGTCCCCTACCCTTAACGGATGATTATGGGAAAAAAGTATAATCTATCTGTACGTATATTTATTTGGCATTCTATTTATTGCATTATGTCGTTATAAGCCAATGATCTTACTGTCATGGTTCCGTGTATACCGTTAATTTAATCGTAAGATCATAGCGTTGTAATTCATGGTAATCTTATTATTATTAGATATTAGCAAACGTAGATTAACACGCCATTCACCAAAATAAAGAAAAAAGAAAAAAACAAGAACAAAGCAGTCGTAAATTATGTGGTAGATACTAACTTGTAGATACTTCCTGTACCTTGAAATTTATATGAAGTAGCATTTAGCTCCAACGTATACACCATTATACGTATACATAAATATTCTATTATTATTACCAGAAACACTAGCGCATAGTCGTTTGTAGAGGGTACAATCCAACGTAAGATTGGAAGTAATCGAAAGGGAAACAGGAAACAAGTCCGATATTATATAGACACAATTCGAGCGCTGTGTACATTGTGTAAACGGTTTTCGAACGGCGTGATGTGCAATAAACGAAGAGCGATCTAGTGTGGTCGCGCGATGCGTGGTGCGATCCGGTATTTTTGTTTTAGCATGACAGACCACCGATGTTCCAAATCGACTTCACTAGATAGTCTTGTGTACTCCGAAACTCCCTCTTAATAATAAAACATTTAATAAAACGAGGTTCGCTGCTTTTTGTATCCTCTTCTTCCTGAGCTATATTTAATCGTCATTGCATGTTCCTTTGAAGTAAAGTTCCTTCAGTGAATTTATATTTCATAATTTCATTAAAACAATTCTATAGTATATTATACTATTATTAAATTTCAGATTATTAAGGAGAGTGTAAGTCCTTCGGTTCACCGATTTAGTTGAAACTTTGCAGGTTTGTAGATATCGTCATGGAGTTTGAGAAAATATATCATTATAGCGGCAACTACTCAATAGTAATCAATTATTATAATGGAATAATTAGTAATTCATGTTCATGAATTAATTATGGAAATTTGGAATTTTTCGTAACAGAAATATATTTATATTTGCTTCAGCGATATTAATACATATAAGAAACATCGTTTGATATTTTACAACGGTATTTAAGCACATAGCTATTTCAAAGTTGCAACATTTTCCCGCTACAAAAATACCTAGCGTATCCGGCTGCAGCCAACTTCCAGTTGGCGGCAAGCGGGCATACCGGTAACAAATGGTGGAATATTCTCACGGGACAAAGTGAAATATTAAATCTGAAAACGTTTCGGGAAGTAGTGATATCGCTAATTGACGTTATAATTCTTTTACGAAGTTCAAGATTACTAACTGTGAACATTTCTTGGGTAGTAATATACTACATGTGGAAAAAGGGATGTTGCATAGTGCAAATCATATTACGATACATGTGGAGAATAAAGTGGTGTGAGTGCGGGATTCTATAATACTACCGCATTGTCCGTTACAATCTGCTGTAGAAGATTCTAGATTTCGATAGAGATTTCCATTAGAATATTTGATCAACATTACTGAATAGAAAGCTTTTTAATAGTTTTTTCAATTTCTCTTCGATCTTGACGTTCAATTGCAACATAATTATGTATTATCGCTATTACATACTAAATTTTGATTGCGGATTCAGATATTTCATTACTCTTGCATAGAATAGATTGTTCTCCAACCAGTAGGGCGACTATTTTACGATTTAAGGTGCATATATGAAACAAAGCAACGGAAAAGCATGGGCCAGTGAAATCGTTCTACACAGTACACTTTTTTCGCCTATATTTCTACAATTAGACTTTTCGGTTAGAATTTTTCGATATAACAGCGTAGAGTGAATTCTTGCTTAACGGGATTGGATATTTTTTTTGCTTTTCGAGAGTGCGTTTCCGAAAAATAGTGCCGAAAGTGTCAGTGGCTATCAGATCGTGCTGCGCAATTGACTTTTTTGCTTTCTATCTTCAAAATTAGGCTATTGATTCCGGTTTTTTACATTTATCAGCGTAATGTGAATTCTTCCATAATGGGATTGGATATTTTTTCTCGGTTTCGATCTAGCGTTTTCTAAAAATAGTGCCGATTGTGTCAGTGACTGTGAAATCGTGTTACATAATAGACTTTTTTGGCTTATATCTTTTGAATTAGGCTTTTTGAATCGGATGCTTCCACAGATTCGCGTAGAGTGATTCTTTCCTTAACGGGATTGGACATTTTTTTTCGGTTTCAATTGTACGTTTTTCTAAAATAGTACCGAATGTGTCACTGGCTGTCAGATCGTACGACGCAATTCACTTTTTTGGCTTCTATCTTTTCAATTAGGCATTTTGAACCGGATTTTTTCACATATTCGCATAGAGTGATTTTTTCCTTAACGGGATTGGATATTTTTTTTCGGTTTCGTGTGTGCGTTTTTCTAAAATAGTGCCGAATGTGTCAGTGGCTGACAGATCGTGTGATGCAATTTACTTTTTTGGCTTATATCTTTTGAATTAGGCTTTTGGAATCGGATGTTTCCACAGATTCGCGTAGAGTGATACTTTCCTTAACGGGATTGGATATTTTTTTTCGGTTTCGATTGTGCGTTTTTCTAAAATAGTACCGAATGTGTCAGTGGCTGTCAGATCGTACGACGCAATTCACTTTTTTGGCTTCTATCTTTTGAATTAGGCTTTTTGAACCGAATTTTTTCACATATTCGCGTAGAGTGATTTTTTCCTTAACGGGATTGGATATTTTTTTTCTGTTTCGTGCGTGCGTTTTCAAGAAATAGTGCCGAATGTGTTAGTGGCTGACAGATCGTGTGATGCAATTTACTTTTTTGGCTTATATCTTTTGAATTAGGCTTTTTGAATCGGATTTTTCCACATATTCTCGTAGAGCGATTTTTTCCGTAACGGGATTGGATATTTTTTTTCTGTTTCGTGCGTGCGTTTTCAAGAAATAGTGCCGAATGTGTCAGTGGCTGTCAGATCGTACGACGCAATTCACTTTTTTGGCTTCTATCTTTTGAATTAGGCTTTTTGAATCGGATTTTTCCACATATTCTCGTAGAGCGATTTTTTCCGTAACGGGATTGGATATTTTTTTTCTGTTTGGAGCGTGCGTTTTCTAGAAATAGTGCCGAATGTGTCAGTGGCTGTGAAATCGTGCTGCGTAATAGACATTTTTGGCTTCTATTTCCGAAATTAGGCTTTTTGAGTCGGATTTTTCCACATATTCGCGTAGAGTGATTTTTTCCTTAACGGGATTGGATATTTTTTTTCTGTTTTGTGCGTGCGTTTTCAAGAAATAGTGCCGAAAGTGTCAGTGGCTGACAGATCGTGCTGCGCAATAGACTTTTTTGGCTTCTATTTTTTGAATTAGACATTTTGAATCGGATTTTTCCGCATATTCGCGTAGAGTGATTTTTTCCTTAACGGGATTGGATATTTTTTTTCGGTTTCGATTGTGCGTTTTTCTAAAATAGTACCGAATGTGTCAGTGGCTGTCAGATCGTACTGCGCAATAGACTTTTTTGCCTTCTATTTTTTGAATTAGGCATTTTGAATCGGATTTTTCCACATATTCTCGTAGAGCGATTTTTTCCGTAACGGGATTGGATCTGTTTTTTCTGTTTGGAGCGTGCGTTTTCTAAAAATAGTGCCGAATGTGTCAGTGGCTGTGAAATCGTGCTGCGTAATAGACCTTTTTGGCTTCTATTTCCGAAATTAGGCTTTTTGAGTTGGATTTTTTCACATATTCGCGTAGAGTGATTTTTTCCTTAACGGGATTGGATATTTTTTTTCTGTTTCGTGCGTGCGTTTTCAAGAAATAGTACCAAAAGTGTCAGTGGCTGACAGATCGTGCTGCGCAATAGACTCTTTTGGCTTCTATTTTTTGAATTAGGCTTTTTGAATCGGATTTTTCAACATATTCTCGTAGAGTGATTTTTTCCTTAACGGGATTGGATATATTTTTCCTATTTCGAGTGTGCGTTTTCGAGAAATAGTGCTGAATGTGTCAGTGGCTGTGAAATCGTGCTGCGTAATTGCCTTTTTGTTTATATTTCCGAAATTAGACTTTTGGATTAGGTTTGTCCCATCTATGTATGTATAGTAAATACTTTTTTAACTCGATTGATTTGGATATGAACCATTTGGTTGACTGATTTTTAAATTACTATCGATTTAATATGAAATATTATTGACTAAGGAATTTTTTTATTATAGGAAACTTACCAACATGAGTAATTTTTATATGCATGGGCCAGCCACTAAGGGTAAGGTAATAAGTATTAGTTAATAATATTTCAATGTATTGCATATGTTTTTAAAAATTTAACCAATATACAATATTTTCTTTCTAAATTTCTATATTAATATACAGAATAATTTCTAATTTGAAGTACAATAATAAATAATAAAGTTTAATAAATTTGATTTTAGAAGTATTTTACATTAATTAAACTAATATATTTGTTATAACTAGGTTGTAAAGAAAACAACTGTTGGTGATATTGAGCCAGAACTATGGGCCAAAGAAACTCCAAAACATGTAGAAATTTTATACAATTAAGTGTGGATGGTTATTGGGATGACACTATACTTCACAGAATTATCAAAGGATTCATAACACAAGGTGGTGATCCCGCAGGTACAGGAGAAGGTAGTAAAATATATGGAGAACCATTTAAGGTGAGGCTACATTTAAAAATAAAATTAATTCCTTTTTTATTTAAAAATAATTATTGGATATATGTCTTTAGGACGATTTTTGTACAAGATTCCGTTCCTGTGGATGAGGTTTAATTGCTATGGCTAATGGTGGAAAAGATGACAATGGTTCCGAATTTCTCTTTACTCTTGGTTCTACACCAGAATTGCAGAGTAAACATACAATCTTTGGTAAAGTTATTGGAGAAACTATATATAACATGCTTAAACTTGAAAAAGCACTTGTACATGATGTAGATTTAATGTTTACAAAAAAATATATCAAGAACTAATATAAATATAATATTTCCTATTTTTTGTAGGATGATAGGCGACTTTATCCTCCAAAAATAAGAGAACTGAAATATTGAACAATCCATTTTCCGATATTTTACCAAGAATAATTGTACAGGAAAGTGAAGAAGTAAAGGACAGGTCAAAAACTAAACCAGCGGGAGTAAAGTAAAAATCATATATTTTTGCAGAATTTAGCCCTGATAGTATTCTTTGTAATGGAAAATTTTGTTACAGAGATTTCAATCTTTTATCATTTGGTGAAGAAGCAGAGGATGATGATGAAGAATCTGTGTTATTAAATAAAAAGTTTAGTGGTGATCGTAAATATTTCAAAAACTATTGAGTAATTGCCGTTATAATGATATGTATTCTCAAATTGCATGACGATATCTACAAACCTGCAATGTTTCAACTAAATCTGTGACCCAAAGGACTTGCACTCTCCTTGTAAGTCTAGAATAATTCTTATCTGTGCTAATTAATTATAGACGAAGGTAGAAAGGATTGAAAGAGAATACAGATTTAACAGTTTTAATCTTTAATATATAATGTCTCGCTCTGTTACAATTATTTGATACAAGATATTAAAGTAACGTCTCGGTATAAGTTATGCTTAGGACAATTTCCAATGGACAGTTAATCTGGTTCTCCCATTTCTTCTTCTTCTCTGTATCGAACAACACGATCTCCAGGTCCTGCTGTATCGATGGGCACACCAACTGACTCCTGGTCTTCGGTTTCTGTTACTGGTGTTTCTACAAACTACAAGCAGGACAAACGCAAATTAAATGTTACTTCAAGTAATATCTACAATTATATATTATTATTCGCGTAACTTTTCCAATTTACTTACCTCTTCTATTATTTCTTTGTTTATCTCTCGTGAATGCCTTTTTACAATCCGTTTCCCTATAATAATTTTGTCATTATTATTACAGAATCACCACTCCTCGACTTTTGATTCATCATTGACTTATGGTTCATCGTTATAAATAATAATATATTTATGGAAGTAATGATATCAAATTTTTATTCATCTTTAACTTACTCGAATTACTGGAAGCTTGCTTCACGGTATTTCGCGACGGTACAGAGGATATCGATTGTCTGTCCTGAAATGCAATTATCCCAATTAATTTCGAAGTTGAAGAGGACGCTAAAAATGAATAATTACCGTTGATCGAAGGTCGTCACGTTCGTCGCAATATGCAGGCCCGCAGACATCGATTTTATCTGGCATTCGTCGGCTTTTATACATCTTACCGTCCGTTCCCTTTATCATCCCTTCCGTCAGCTGAACTATTTCCGGTCCCCACTGAGTGAGGAAATGACCCACTCGCATTACCCTCTGCTGAGGAGTCGTAATCGTGTGACTTCCACCACAGTATCGATTGCAGAGATGATCTCTAACAGAGAAATATATATTTCGAACAAAATTTTCTCCTTCCTAAAATTTCATTACAATTGTTTTAATACAAAGTGACGATATATTAATTTTCTTTATAGAATTCTTTATAGAAATAAAATTTGAGAAGGATTAATGTAAAAATGTATTGCTTTGCGTTGTTACGTGTATTAAAATCTATCTATTACAATGTATTACTGTCTGAAAATTAGAATAATATATGAAGTCGTAATAATCTGAAGTAATATTATTCATATGCACCTAGGAGTCTTCACAAGTGTATCCGTTCTTGCGCTCTTTTGCTTTCTTGCCTCCTCCTGCACGGCTGCCTCAAATTGAATCATATTTCTACTATGAGGTAACCTCCTGTGTTGTTTTCTAACCTGATCCAATTCATAGGTTAGGTACGGCTTCATGCTCACGGTGCATGGTAATGTCTCCACCTTGAATTTATGGCCCCCATCCATTCTCATGACCACATCTTTATCGCAAGATATGCATTGAACATCTCTAATAACACATGAAAAATTTCACATAATATCTATGAAATCTCATAAGGTATTTGAGTAGTCAGATTACATTGTCCAACAAATTTTAACTTTCTCTTCAATTTATATTATCTATTAGGTGATTTTGACGGAGATTTCTTTCCTGGCCATGAATCGGTAATCGAAATTGCTCTATCATTCTCAGTTTTCAAAAAATTTAAGTTTTTCTAAAAAACAATTTTTGGTTAATTTGAAGTATTACATATAAAGCAAGTTAGGAGGTGCATCGTTGTCTTACAAGTTTATTAAAAATGAATGAATTATCAAATTTGTTATTAATAACAAATTAATATTGTTAATATCAAATTGTTGATAACATAAATTTATAATAAAAGTGAAAAAATTAATAAATTACTAGCTGTTACTTGAACTTATGTCCTTATGTTAAAATGTACAAATAATTTGTAAAAAGAATATAGTACAAAAGTTAAATTAAAATGTATTTATGATTTATAAAAAATTAAATTAATTATTAAATTTATTATTAATAACAGATTGTTTATAACGTAAATTTATAATAAAAGTGAAGAAATTAATAAATTATTGCATATTACTTGAACTTACAACGTATAATTACATTAAAATTTACTTATAATTTACAAAAAGTTTAAAAATTATTACACCAATTGTTAATAACAAATTAATATTATTATTAACAAATAGTTCACGATGTAAACTTTTAATACCAGTAAAAAAATTATTAAATTATTGGCTATTACAGCGGAAAATTAATAATTAATAAAATCGGTGAAGTTCGGAAATTTTCGATTGGGGTGGGGAATTCGGCCGGCCGCCGCTATATAAGGGGCCCGCGTGAAGGCTCGAGCCAGTTGTCGGTTCGACTTCGGACGGTGCGCGTTAATATTTTTCTTTCAGGTTCTAATTATTTTTTCTTTCAGGTTCTAATTATTTTTTCTTTCAGGCTTTAATTATCTTTCTTCTTTCAGATTCTATTTCCTTTATTCTAGATTTCATTGTTTGTGCATTCGAGTATTTCGTACAATATTCGAATGCTTCGTCGTTGGTTTATTTGTATATCATCGTTGGCTAGATCAATGGCTATTCAGTGGCCATTGTCCACTCTCTTGAATAATTTAACAATAATTTCTTCTTTCAGGTTCTAATTATTTTTCTTCTTCCAGATTTTATTTCTTTCATTCTATTTGTCTCTTTGTTTCAGCATTCGAGTATTTCGTACAATATTCGAATGCTTCGTCGTTGGTTTACTTATGTCTCATCGTTGGCTAAATCTTTCCTTTCACAAATTTTACGACTTCCGTTCGATTTGTTTTCGTTAGAGCGTTCGAGTATTTCGTATAATACTCGAGCGCTTCCTCGTTGGTATGTTTATATCTCACCGTTGGAATGTTTCTGTCTCGTAGTTATGTTGCTCAGGTCTCGTCGTTGGCTTGCTCGTTCCATTTGGTTATTATCCTTGATGGTTTCCTCGTACTAATCCCTTTCCTTTCAGCTACATATTAACAATAATATATTCTGTTTTAGCTTTTAGGTTTCTCAAGATTCTGTTTGCGACACATCAATGAACGATGCGTGCGTTTACTTTTAAGTAATCATAAGATAGATCCATAGACTAAGTATCATGTGCGCGCTATCTGTACAAAGGTAAGCTACCTAACTTGGAGCGAAATTTATAAATTCTCTATCATTTTCTTATCCCCCTCGTTTAGCAAATAGAACATAATTGTTCTCGCGATAATCGCGATCGTTCGTAAGTACCGACTAGCCTACGCGACGTGCTCTCGTGTACTCGATAAGTACATGCTTCGTAAGTCATCCTCACGACTCGTCTCCGACACTCATTTCCAGTCACTGTCAATCTCGTCATGCATCGGGTTCCAGGGTGACCCCCTCGGATCAGTGCGTCTTCTGACCTCGACGGGGCGGTCCGCTGCCTAAGTCGTACGCGACTGGGGCTCGGGCACATGCTGGCTGACGGACTAGTACCATCTACGGTTAGACCACAGGGATGATTAAGTTCTACCCCGTGTGGCTGGGATGCGAAGTGTCTGTCTTGGCCGGCAACCGCCCAGCAGGGCCCTCGCGTTGACACTAGAAGTTTCATTGGTTCAGGGACTATCCTTGGTCCACGTGTAAGTCTTGGCGAGTGCGACAGTGACTGGAATTGAGCTAGGCCCGATCGGGAGGGTGCCGAGGTATGAAGTTATCTCTGTACACGGGAGTACATCGCCTAGGCTAGTCGGTCTTTCGAATAATCGCGAACTCGTTCGGGCGCGTCGAGATTTTCTATTAGCTCGCGTGTTTGATATTTCATTCCCTATTTTTATGGGAATTCGAACATATCTTAGCGTTGCGACAGTAGAGTTTCAGTATACCGAACCGAAACCCCTTTTGTAAGACACGAAATATAATAAAGTGTCAGTAGAGTCATTTTAACTTAATTCGCTCCAAGTTAGATTAGGGTACCTTTGATACAGGTAGCGCCAGCAGGCTGCGCCACTAGGGCGCATGTCGGGTCTCGACGCGTAGCCACCTCCACGTGGTGAGACCTGGTAATTGGTATCGTTTTCTAAGGAATAGTTTTTGGAAAACGATACCAAGCTAAAAGCTACGCACAAAGTTTAAGATATATCCTATCTCTTATAAATTTTCAATGTTCTCCTCGAATCTTGAAAATTAAGAGTGGGTAATATCTGTTAAAGCTATATATGAAGTAAGAAGAATAAACCATAGGAAGTAAGGTATGTAAGGTAAGTAAAGTAGGTGAGGTAAGTAAGGTAAGTAAAATAATTAAAATCTTCTGCAATGTGTAGTCTGTATATTCATGCAAACGCTGCGAAATATGTCTCAATACAATTCCTGGAAAGTGACGTCATTTCTAAGAATCTGTCGACGAGCGACCTCCTATCATGTTATGTTACCCTAGTACAAAGTCGTGAAATTGGCGGAAAATTCTCGCCGAGGCAGCATAAGTATTTCCCCGAGAATTCTTGGAAATGACGTCATTTCTTGGAACAGTCTCGGCGATAGACCTCCTGTCATGTCATGTTATCCTGATACCAAATCGCAAAATCGGCCGAAAATTTTACGGCCAGCCAGGAAAAGTATTGACCACGTTGGCGGCAAAAGTATTGACCACGTTGGCGGCAAAAGTATTGACCACTTTGGCGGGAAAAGTATTGACCACTTTGGCGGGAAAAGTATTGACCACTTTGGCGGGAAAAGTATTGACCGAGAATTCTTGGAAATGACGTCATTTCTTGGAACTGGCTCGGCGATAGACCTCCTTTCATGTCATGTTATCCTGATACCAAATCGTGAAATTCACCACAGATTTCTCGCAGAGGCTGTAAAAATATTGTCCGAAGAATTCTTGGAAATGACGTCATTTCTTAGAAATGGCTCGGCGATAGACCTCTTGTCATATTATGTTCTCCTGATACAAAATTGTGAAACTGGTTAGAAACTTTTCTTCAAGGCGGCAAAAGTATTGACCGGGAATTCTTGGAAATGACGTCATTTCTTGGAACTGTCACAATGGACGACTTCCTTGCACGTTATGTTATCCTGATACAAAATCGCGAAATTGGCCGAAAACTTTTCATGGATATATTTAGTCCCATAGATGCTATCTTTGAAACACTGTAAAAATCGAACCGCGTGACCACCGCCCATGCAATTTACACACATGAAAGCTACGCAAATGTACATCAGAATGATCCACCCCGCAAACGATTCGGACGATATCGAAAAATGTCTACATTTTCAACTCACTCTCAGATCGAAATCTTCCGACCAAAAATCAGTAAAAAATCATGCAAGCTCGAAAGCTCGCGAAAGCCATACGTACTCGTAGGGCACACTGTAAGCTCTCACATAACCAAAGCTCGCTCTCCTAGCTTCACTAGGAAGCTCGCAGCAACGTTAAAAGTAGCTCGCAATACCGATATAATCAGTCCTATATATTCTGTAATTATTCAGAAGCTCAAATAATTATAATTATGGACACTGATAAGCTAAGGATACCCTCATCTAACTTTCAAAATAAGAACGAATCTTCTAACATTCTTAATTACCGTGTAATAATTCATTTTATCTAAAAAAGTGCATTTTTTAACGAATTCACATTCTTCTAAAACTGAGCGCGACAGAGCAATTTCAATTACAGATTCATGGCCTAGAAAGTAAACTCTGCAAGGATGACCTAATCAATATGGCAAAATAAAATTCGTGTTGAACAGTATCTTAAATAACTTTTAAATAACTTATTTCTGCAATTTATATGCACATAGTTCAACATAAAATTTGAACAATGTCGACCGGTGTATATTTTAGTACTATTTTAATGTTATATTTTGAATAATATATCTACGTTTCCAAAATACTTTATCCCAAATTATTCTGGTGCTCTGTGCCATTTTGACGAGGTAATAGTAGCTTTACCTGAGCAACTTCTTGGTCCCAGCTGCTTCGATTTCTTGTCTAGCCTCTGCTACCTTCTTCAATTTATCTTGAAGTGTCTTCAGTCTGTTATTAACGAAATCCTTCAGCGGAGACATTTCCATTTTGTCAACTTTCCCTTCGATCTCCTTCTGTACTTCATCTAAAGCTTGCTGCCAGATCATTTCTTGATGTCCTAATTTATTAATTGCGTCTTCAAGGCCTTGAGCAAGATCATCGCAGGCTGCGTCGAATTGGTCATAAGAAACCTGAGCATCAATTAAATTTATGCATTATTTATTTCACTCTTTTTCTCGTGTCTCGTGTAAAAATTAGATTCAAACCTTCCTATGTATCGCCTGAGCATCAGCTTTATCTGCAAGCGCGTCTTCGAGATCCTCTCTGTCAGCTTTGATGGTTTTCAGAAGTTCTACTTGTTCCAATAGTGCCTAAAAGGATCATAGTATAAAATTATGTATAAGAAAATTATATAGTCCAAAAAATTATGAGAATTATAATAGCAAATTAATCCTATCGCTATAAAATCTTCTAGAGCATAGAAAATTCATGCTTGTGTATAAAAATACTTACAATTCGAAGAATTGTATAGAGAAAGGATTAAATATAGAATAAAATCAATAAAGAAAAATAAATGGAGACGTGTAGTTTCAATAAAATTTAGAATACTATGACTATAGTATAGAATGTCGATTAAGCGAATTTTTAAAATTTTTATTTCAATTAAAAACTTGAAATTAAACAATTTGCTATGTAATATACTTAGATTGGAAGACTATCATGAGACGAATCATGAATGGACATAGATAAAAACAATTAAAAATATTAAATTATAATTTCTAATTCACAATTATTTGATTTACGACAAAATTCAGAATTTGCTTCTTTCACACTGATTATCGGAACTGATTTATCTCAATTAATTCGCATAATCGATTTTCTACTGTAATGATGCTAACATTAAGATGCATTTCCCGATTTTCTCGATCATCGATCAGACGATCGGCAGTTTGATTCATTTTCTCCATATCGGATTGTATTTCGTTAATTTTGGAAACTAGGTCTTCGACGTCAGCAGCTCCCACGACACCAGCCATTGGCGCACTCTCCACTTTTTCGTACAAGCACGATACATCTTTCTCCAATTTAGAAATTCGCTCCTTTAAGACTTGCAATCCCCCTGAATCCAATACTTCTTCCGTCTGTTTGCTCTCCGCAGGTTTCTTCGGTGATCCTGTGCGAATTTCTTTACTCGACGTCACTGCTTTTTCTACAGGCTTCACTGCTTCTTCCGTTTCTTCGGTATGTTTCGTTTCCACGTCTTCCTGTGTTGTTTCAGTCAGATGTTTCGGTTTTTCTATCACTGCTGCTTTTTCTTGGGCTTCCACTTTTTCTACGAATTTTACAAATGTTTAAAAATTAGAAGAAGAAACTTATCGATATATTAAAGTATATATTAAATATTGGTGTTTATTTTATATAAATTTAGATTTCAAATCAAATAACAAAATTTAAATTATTTAATGTTAATATTCATCTCTGTATCAATTTTAATATTAATGAAAATAGAATGAGAAAAATTATAAATAATAAACGGAATTAATACTAGGTAATTAATTAAATAATTAATTACTAGTAATAACTAATAATTTATTACCTGCTTCCGTTGTAGTAATTTTCTCATTCATATCCTTTAATTCGGCTTTTATCTGGGAAATTTCCGTTTGCAAGGTTGTCACGTCTTTGTGCATTCCTTTAATATCTATACCGCCTAAAAGCTGGCTTAATGAAATTCGTTGTACAGGTTGTTCAGATTCAGGTTGTTCTTTTTCTTCACCAATTTCAGTGATGACAGCCTCTGCACCTTCGTCTTCGTCCATTTTGGCAATTATTTGTAAATTCTTAACGACTTGATCCAAATTGCTTAAAGAATATTCTATATTCGCTATCCTTTCCTCGAGATTTGATGCTTCTCCTACTGTGTCACCCTTGATCACATCCTGTACCATTTTCGTCAACTAAAAATAAAATATCCTTGTAGTTGTAATGTTACGGAGAATAAATTACAATAAAGTACAAGTATCTTCACTTAAATTTACTGAATTTCATTGTTATGTATGTATGTTATATTAGAAGAATTAATTTCCATTTGACAATTTATTTCAATCATTTCAGCTCAGAAAGATATTAATTTATGTGGAATTATTCACTGCATTATTATTTTATATTAATATACATTTATTTTATGTGAATGCATATTATAAATATGAATAATTCATTTTATGTTCGTCGAATATTCATTAAAACACGTAAGTAAGAAGCTACGATAATTTGTGTTGCATAAAAGCACGTAAGAAAATCAGTAAGATCCTCCCATGGTCAAATTAAATAACGATTGAAGCACTCAAGTTATACCTTATCAATACCTTGCTCACTAGCGTCCAATCTTTTGGTAATGTTGATAATTTGCCATACGTCGGTAACAGGGTCAGTGATTTTACCTTTCAATCGCTCGATAAGTTCTGGAGTCGTTGATAAGTCTTCCAGTGCTTGAAATCGTTGTTGAAGCTCGTTTACCTACGGAGATATATTTAACATGAAACGATTAAATAATTCCATAACTAAGATTTTCCTTTTTCTTCCATGTATCATACATATGTCAACAACAGAAAAGAAAAATTCGATATATAATACGCAGGTACAATGATTATTACCCCTAAGTAAGAATAAAATTTAATTTCTGAAGAATAGCGATATTATATCATTAATGAAAATTCATATTAAAAAATAAAATAAAATTTATCCACATGAGAAAATATATTTTCATTACGTTTTGCTCGAGTTGTTTAAAAGCCAATGCAGTAGGAGTTGCTCCATCGATAATAGGTTCAACAAGAATGACAGTTTCACATTCGCCTTTTGACCCAGAGCTAATTTCTTGCCTTACACCTTTTGTTTTTTTCAGATCCTCTCCCTCGGTTGGTTGTGCATATGGCGTAACTGCACATAAGTATATTATATAATTTGAATCGTAATTGATACTCTTTGGTTTCACCAATTTTAATAAATTTTAATATTCTTATATAAAAATCAATATAAAATATTATTTTAGGCAAACCTTGCTCTTCCTTAGACTTTTCGCGTTGTGTAACTGGAGCACTCACAGATTCAATTAATTCTTTGGAATCTTTCACTATAGATTCTACAACAACAATATTTGAAATAAATAAATTAAAAATATTTAGGTGCGTATATAATTTTAAAACATTATAATGCTTTCTTACCTTCCATTAATACATCTACTTTCACATTTATAGCGTCACTACTACGTACTCGTTCTTTCACGTTACTGGAGGCATCGATGATATTATATTCCTGTAGGTAAAGAGAGGGTCCTGCTTTCAGCGAACCTACCATCGTCTATAAAATATATGCTACTTAATATATTTGATTAAATTCCGGTATTTTATTACATAGGATTACCATAAATAATTTTACCTTAATTCGATTAGCATCGTCACCGCGATACTCGACTTTAGTTGATCGTAGATTTATTTGATGTAATAAAATATGAAGAAAATTGTGGAGGATATTTAAATTTACCGCTCCAACCTAGACGCGAATGTAAAACGATGTACCTGTCGTTAAAATAATTATCTTCCACTTCTTGAATTATTATTTTGCATTTATGTCGGGTAAAAGATAAATTTTCTTTACTTCCGGAGTTCCCAATGCAAGATCCAACATTTGAGGTAAAGAAACCTGCAAACTGGCTACATCTTTATCAGCTGGAGGCGATGTAGGTACCGCTGTACGTGCAGATGGTTTTGCCGCTTTTACCGACATTCTCTTTCACTGGAACAATTTTACAAAATTTTCGTAAAAAAAAACATAATAAGATATGCTTTCGATCGTGCGGTAACCCTTCTTGTTCTATCACTCAAATGTCATACAAATATGACATTTCGGTAAATTAATGATCTTCTTTTATTTCACTGCAGTATTATGAATGAGCGTGCATTTAATCACAGTTGAACTCAGATATTACAGGTGTAGATAATACAGATACCACCACAGACAAGGTGCCCTCTGTTGTGATATAATTTTCATGTATCTTAAGTCGGTAATGTCGAATGTTACAGTTACCAGTGATGGTATCTTTACACTTCATAGCATCGGTAATGTTGGAAGTTACTTTAACATGTTAAGGTTATCAAAAACTCCTGATGCATGGCGTAGAAAATGCAGCCAATTATACTAATCTATAATTATAACGAACTTATAAATTCTTTCAACGAATGAAATAAAAATATATTCATTGTAGTTTATTAAATTGCAAGCAAGGATACCATTTTCTCTCCAAGCTTGAACGAGTTGCGTAGAGATGACACCACTCGTGACACCGATCGGTAACGCCATCTTGTACACAAAATTAGCTCTTCCACCTACAAATTAAAAAACATAATAATCATTACGAACCTCCTCATAGATAAAACTTCAATATTAATCATCACAAAGATCATTAAAAAATTACAGAAGTCCTATTTTCAACGTCGATATACATCTATATAGAAACCTAAAGCATTCGGTAAAATTAGTCACGTCAGTTATAACGAATGAACATATCCCACAAATGCGATCGTTAGCGAAGGAGAGATAGGAAATTACATTAAGCCTTTTCAGTAATTTCATCCCGAATCGTTACATCGAATTCCTTGGGAGTAAAAAATTTTCTAAAGAACAGATCGTGCAATTTATCATTGAAAAAGTGGAACGCCCGGTGTGTTGGAAAGTTAAAACAAAGAAACGTTTGTCACCGTGAAAAATGCAACAACCGTTCACTTTAATATTAACGCGTCTGTTCACAATAACTTCTGTCGTGTGTTACGTTCGCGGTGTGTCGTATTAATGAAACAATAATTCATCGTGTTCCATTCTTTGCATAGGAAAACCGTTTATCTGACCGTGCGTGACAGGTGGTTCCTATCGGGGAATAGAAACAAATTCACGATCAAAACGCAGATTAGTCCGCGACGTACATATTTTACCCTGCACACCGTATGACATTGTCGATCGTTCGCAATGTCTATCCGACACGGTGAACGCGTGTATCGATCGTCGATATTTACATCGCCGATACGGACGACGATTAATTCTGTTTTATCGGCAGCGTGACGTTGTATAGACTTTCAGAAAGTTCCGACATTAATCGAAGTTTATATCATGGTTATAAGATTGTAATCCCTGTTATCGCGCCAATTTCCAACTGTAATTAACTTTACGTTTAGCGGGCTAAATACGGCCATGAACTAAATGAATAATAGAGAATGTAAATATATGTAAAATGGCGAGGATTAATCTACCGATAAAACGACAGTGGCGTCACAGTTGGTAACGAAACTACATTACACCATACTACGCCATTAGGTGCTAAAAAATCTGCTTCCTCACGATGACGATATATTTTCCTGGCTACTGCTTTCTTCTTATTTTTCTTTCTCAATTGCGCGCGTGTGTGTGCATACGTCTTCCTCGTTCTCTTGTACATTCCTTGTGCAGTCCGTTTTTATTATATATTTCCTTCTCTCTGTTTTATCTTTCGATGTAACTTTTTCGTACCTTTCCATTACGTTCCGCGTCACTAGAACAGACGTATAAATATAAAACAATGGACAAATATCTGTATGGAATACAATGGAATTCATAGCGTGATATTTTTATCATTTATATTTATATCGAGATATAACGAAAAATTTTAAAACGAGAATTTTGGAAAAAATTAATATATACTTAGATAAGTACTTAAATTAGTGTGTCCAATTATAATTATCACGTGAGTTGGTAGTTTTGTTATCAAGCTGATATTGACAGAAATAGTACGAATTTTTTAATTTCGAATTCAGTGGAGGAAATTTAATAAAAATCGAATAGAATCGAATATTTTAAAATATACAAGTATTACAAATTCACATTTTCAGCATCGAAGAAGCCACATGCTAGTAATTTGTTTGACAATTATCAAATGAGCTGATAGTTTAGTTACCAAGCTGATACTAACAATAATAGTACGAATTTTTAAATTTCGAATTCAGTGGAAGAAATTGAATAAAAATTGAATAAATGGAATATTTTCAAAATATCACAAATTCACATTTTCAGCATGGAAGAAGCCACATGCTGATCATTTGTTTCACAATTATCACGTGAACTGATAGTTTTGTTATTAAGCTGATATAACAGAAATAGTACGAATTTTTAAATTTCGAATTCTGTGGAGGAAATTTAATAGAAATCGAATAAATGGAATATTTTCAAAATATCACGAATTCACATTTTTAGCATTGAATATTTGTTTCACAATTATCACGTGAACTGATAGTTTTGTTATTAAGCTGATATAACAGAAATAGTACGAATTTTTAAATTTCGAATTCAATGGAGAAAAATTTAATAAAAATCGAATAAATGGAATATTTTCAAAATATTACAAATTCACATTTTCATTATCGAAGAAGCTACATGCTAGTCATTTGTTTGACAATTATCGTTCAACTCCCAGAGCACGTTATATCCTCAAGTTACACGCGATAAATTCGACCTGACCTCTGTGTTTGAATTACCTTGTTTGATCCACAGATCGAATGTTTAACCGTAGGTGATCTCAGCTTTCTTAGACAATATTCCACTGGAAGGATCACGAGCATGTGTTCGCGAGTAGAAGCCTCTGGTCATTGCTTCTGCATGATTCAGTCATCCACCAAGTGCTAGCTACGTTACACCGATCCCTCTGCATCATGGATCCTCTTTAATTCTTTTCTCTTACGATCGGATCCCAGTGCCACGATTAGAGAGCGGGAAACATGAGTCCTACGAAGTGGAATCTCGTTTCGATGGTGATGGTGAGTGGAAATCGCTTATTCGACCGATACTCTTCCTCCTTCGAATCCTCTTTCCGAGAATTTGCACGCGAATGTATCGCGTTTCGCGGATTTTGATTAACGCCATTTGATACATTTGAAATATCGGGTTGGAAATCTCATTATTGGTATCGAGAGATGCAATTTTATCTCTTTGACAACTTCGTTATCGTTTATGTTAGCTCGGTTACTTTCACAGCTTATTCTATGTTCCGCCATAGTCGGAGGTCATTTCTGAAACATGCAAATCGTAAGTGAAGAGGTTCTTGGGTCTTTGGGTCATTTTATAGCGAAGTTCTCGAATTTTCTATCAGTAATACTCGAATTAGTTAGTGGATGTAATATTAACCCTTTGCACTCGAGAGGTGACCTTCAGTCACCATTTCATAAAATTTTGAAGATCGATATTAACACTTTGACTACGGCAGACTTTGAAACTCACCGGTCGTACCACAAGGGTAGAAATTCATTTGCAATGTCCGCCGAGAACGGCAAAATTTTGGGTACAGATGCGCCCTCCGTGTCAGAAAAGCGAACTGCGTTCAGCGCTTATATGCGCCCTCTGTGTCAGAAAAACAAAATTTCTGAGCGCGTATATGCGCCCACAGTGGCCAAGAGGTTAATTAATATATCAAATTTAATGTAATGTAATAGTGTGCGAGAAATAACTCACCCTTATGTGTTAAGATCGCCAATATTACAGTATCGCGGTATTGCGAGCAGTGAAAGATGCTAACAAAGGAAATAGTAAAGCGATAGCGAGTCGAATGGATGTGTGGTCTTAGTTTTAAGCAAATACATGGGAACGCTCGGGCCGCTGCTCGAAGACTGAGGAATAATAAACAGCGGCGTCAGGTTCGACTCGAGCGCTCAAGGCGACACCTAGGATGCGGGCGCCGAACAAACGACAGCGCGAAAGGATTGTTTTGCCGGGATATCTATGACTGTATTGCTATTCGAATATTTCTTTCAGCTGTAGTGGTATATAAAATATTACATGTATAATTTAAATTATATCAGAGGACGAATAAGATTCCTATTCACTTTTGTAAATTTTTCAGAAATCTCCAGTGTGAACCCAAAAATTTCTTTAATGCATCTTGTAATAGATTTAGGTATCTATCTTTATACAAGACACTTTACACATTTCTAAAGATCATACAAATGGATTGGACAAACACTTTCATTACTCCTCTGCTATGAAGAAAGATTGACAAACGAGCACCAGGAAACTCTGTTCACAATCTTTCCTTTAATTATTACATTCATAAATAAATTAACTCGACCCTCGAATGACGAAAAACATAATTAACACTAGATTGCTGGAGCGAGTCAATTTGACTCATTTACGATTTTATTGCTATATATATAGAAAAATTTAAATAATTTTTTTAAAACATATGTTGGTTTTTCATAGAATTATAAAATTTATACAAATACTCATTCCTTCCTTTCCCCATTCCTTAGTTCCAAAAATCCACATGTGCTATACCTATTTTGACGGATGTGAGTCAAACTGACTCATTAAATATTTTTAAAGTTGGTCGTTTTACACACGTGTAACTTATTCCTTGTGCATACAAATTTTTGTAAACAATCTGATGCGAGAGTTTTCATGTTCAAACTTGTCAATTTACTAGTTTATGGCCCCTTAGCCCACCGAGGTCCAAGGGCACCACGCGTGAGGACTTACGTTGAGACAGGCCCCTTGTTAGCCGAGTCCCAAGTACCGTCACCCAACCCTATCGAACGAGGGTCGTATTGCCTGGCAAAAATCCGCGGAAAATGTATTTTAAAAACAGAATATGCGTGTAAAAATTGTTTCGAATAAAGTTTCTTCAAAATAAAATTTTATTCCTTTTAAAAAACTTCAATTTTGATGTTTGAGTCAAATTGACTCGTTTCAGGTAAAACAGGTATATACCTAACCTCCGGCAATCTAGTGTTAAGTAAGGGTGTAAGGTTACGGACGAGTCAGAATGCGTGTGAACGAGGCAGAATGCGTGCAGTCGAGAATAGGATTAATCCAGCAATAATCCCACATTATATTAACCCTTTGCACTCGAGAGGTGGCTCACAGTCACCATTTAATCAGATTCTAAAGATCGACGTTAATTAACATATCAAATTTAAAATTACCTAACGATGTGTGGAATGTCGAAGAAAAATAATTCTACGTCTTAATTTGCATATGATTTCTCATTTACCATTTTAAATATATCGTCAACTCTATGACAGGAAGTCTTCGAATTACTATTTTTCTTTAACGAAAAAGTCTTCGAGTGCAAAGGGTTAAATATATCCAGTCATTCACTCTCACTAAAATATTTTTCCCAAGCTCTCCCTGATGTCCGTGGGTATTCAGACTCTACCCAAGGAAACCTCAAGACAGCCAAAGCAACAGCCCCAAAAGCGTGAAGCTGCCTCACCGAGTCACTCCACGAGCATACCACCGTTCTGGGAGCACATTCTCCGAGAATCAGTGTTCAGAACCATCTCGCTAGCTGCGCCAGGCAACTACCAGCTGTACAGACGTCTGTTGGAGGCGCCATTTCACGGTGGTCCGGTTCCCAGCATCAGCAGCGACGCGTCCAGTGTCATCCTGTCGCGTGGCGACGTTCATCAGCTGCCAAACGGACGCTGGCTGTTCTGCCAGCAAGGCTGCATCGACTGCGGCCTGTGCATCGACCACACGCACCCCACGGTCAAGTGGGTTCTCCGGGGGATCAAGAGGGTCTCCTCTCACGGCGCCACGAGACAGGATCTTCAGCTGACGATCGTGCCGCAGCTGGACGGCAGCTACCACATGAGGAGTCTGTGGCCACAGTCCTACGTCTACGTGACCTCGCAGGGTGAGCAGGATCTCTACCTCAGCGACCACCATAGTTATCGTAACGATGGCAGTGCCTACGTCGAAGACAATTTTTCCGGACAGCAGAGAAGGTTTGGCAGCTTTTGGACCTACGCTGACAGGAATTCGCAGCCAGAAATTAGCGTGGACGAGAAACCTGGCAACGATACTGATGTCAGGAAGAATTTAGATGACAATGGCAGGGAGAATCTCGAGAATACCAGAGTGACACCTAAGAAGAGCGCAGACGAGGAGAGAGACGACTCGAGGAACGTTAAAAGGCAACGACCAGAGGTGAAGTTCGAGGAGAGGCAGAGCCTGAATGGATCTTCGTTGGATGACAGGTTGACAGCGAGCAGCAGGGCGAAGTTGGTGCCGAAGTTGATTCTAGGAACCGACCAGCTGGGGCAGAAGCACTTGGTGCACGTGGTACCTGCTGATATGTCGGGGAATACGAGTTTCATGAACTCCGTCGTGTCTAATATCTTGAGCACGGCGGGGCAGAACAGGACCGCTTATCAGAGGATACTGCGCAGGATATACGACTCTCTGAGCAGCAACAAGCGATCTATCGAAAGCTTCCTGGAGCCTGCAAGGAGTACAGGTAATTTGGGAATTAAAGCTTCTGTGTTTTGAAAAGTTACAGCTTGTTCGTTCTCCTTAGAAACTCCGAGTCTTGGGAAAAACGAGGAACAGCAGCAGCAGGAAACGAGGAGTGGTTTGGCAGGATTGGGACAAATAGGTCGGACTTATTCCAACTGTAGCAGACAAATTCAGAGTGAATCTGCGTTGCAGAAACGGTGGCCTTATATCGTGAACTGGAGCAAATCGCGTAGAATGAACAACGATACGTCTTATTTCTTGTATCAGCACCCTAAGGTGCTGAATAGTATCAGAGAGTTCAAGAACGTATCTGACAGGATGTATCCTAAATTGAGTGTAGATGTTCACAACAGTACCTTTCGAAACAGCTTCGAGACGAAGAACGTTACTCGCACCAACCGCAAGTATAGTGACAGGTCCACGAATCGCACAAAATCGTAGTTAAATCTGAAACCAGAAAATATCAGACATTTATCTGTAATAACAAATGTAGGGATACCTTTGATTGGCAAATATAAGGACTAAGAGATGTAGGTTTATTGCAATATATATTTATTACGAGCTAAAAGAGACTTAGGAGTAAGGTGCAAACTAAAAGACTAGACTAGGTAGCAAATAGACTACAACTATATAGTAAACTCTGTAGGTTCAAACAAATAAGGTACGCTCTAAGTCTTTAGTTAAGAAGGGGAGTAATGGAAGTCAAAGTACGATAGCCAGAGCGAGATATGGAAATTTGGAAGAATATAATAGATACTGATTAAGGGAAGAGGATAGAATATGTAAGCTATGCGAGAGGGACTATGGAACACTAAAGCACTTATTAGACGAACGCGTGGGAATAGAGAGGACAGGTGTTGGATGGCAGATGTAATGAGAAAGTGATTAAATGGTTAAAAAAGGTAGAGAAACGGAGGGAAAAGAAAGAAAGAGAAAATAGGTAGCAGGAGTGCAAATGGTAGGCAGAATTGAGGGATGCGTGTGATTCATATTGTAAGCCAAGTCCATTTTTGGGCCAACGAACAGAAATAAATAATTATATATATATGTAGTAAATTCTATAGCAAAGTACTATAGCAAATAGACTAGACCGGCCTCAAGTACCAGCCCAGACTAGGACCAAAAGGTACTAACTCTTGGTGTTAAAGTCTTCGCCATTTTTGGACTAAACGTTTGCGAATTCCTGTTATAATAACTGGCACAGTGTCTGGGCCTGGCCTGGAACGGCAAGCAAAACGGGCTGGCTACTTAACGCGTTAAGAGAGGTCCAGGTTCAGATTCAACTGAGGACTTGCGAGAAACCTCGAACCTTCGTTTCTGGCCTAGCAGAGAGGGTGTGAACGATGGTTGTCACATACAAGGTTCAAATATTCGTCAGAATTCTATCAGTGTCGAAGTCTATAATAAATTTTGCTTAAACAATTTCTCCACGCGGATATTAATAACATTTTGTGATTCTCCTATGCATTGACGTAAATCACCACAGGAATCACAAACGTTTCACCCTAACAACCCCTTCACGTTCAATCCCCCAAGTCTACTCTTCCAAACACCATCCTCCAAATTTCCCCAGCTCGTAAAGCCTAAAATTCTCAAATTTTCTAACTCGATGCATATTTGATCGCAACATTATCGAACCCAACAATACCAACGTAAAATACGTTTGCAGAAAGTCCTGTACCTCTTTCAACTTGAAATCCATCTAGCGGCGAGGGTGAGAATGCTGGTCCCTACATAGCCCGGCTATAATTCATTAAGCAAAATTACGAAACTTTTTATTACCCTGCGTAAAAGGGAAGAATTTTTAGCATCGTATTAATCAACATACCCTAACCGAAAAGTTCCGAAACTTGGACCATATCCCACAGCTGATCCCACCTGACTCACCTCTCGCGAGTCCAGCGACTCCCGCGGGCCTCGAAGACCCTACCACGCGAAACAGCGCGAAACGAAATTCTTAAATCATCCCTTATCACCTGGTCGCCCTCCCGCGTCGCACCTAGCCGGTAATAAAACAAACTAAATAGCAGAGGGGTCCCGGTAGCGTCGCCTAAACACCGTAAGCCCGCGGGTAGCACCATCGGCGGCACCGCTAAGAGGATCGACGATCCTTAATCAGGCCTGGCGCGATCGTTTAAAACGATTATAACCCTTCCTTGTCCCACGGTCGTATCGCCAGGCATCGCATCAGTCTCGCGTATTAGCCAGCCAGGCGAGAGCGAGCACAGGGTGCGTCTCTGTCCCGCGTGTGACCTCAGCAAACGTGCTCAACCCCTTTCGTAATTGCGTGCCGATGGAACCGCGTCGTGTACCCACATACGTTCATGTACGTGTGTACACGTACACGCCAGTCGTCTGCCTAGGTGTTTCCCTTCGCTGCACGCGTACACGCGTTTGCAGAGAGGTGCACGAGGCCGTGTTAGCGTACTCGGGCCGAATTTCTGCAAGCACCGAGGAGGGTACATCCGCGCAGAGACGACACTGGGTACCCTGCGAGCGAGGAAGGTTGGCTGAACGGCGTGCTTTCGGGAACAGGAGGCAAGGAACAGTTACGACGAAGGAAGGGGTGGTGGAGATGCGTCAGGAAGGGAGGATGGTTGGAGGAGCAGAGGTAAGCCGGCGCTTATATTTAATTAAGGAGGATACGGGCTCGAGAGAAGAGAGAAAGTCTAGGTGGCGAGAGAGAAAGGGTCTGTGTTTCTTGTCTAATTATCTACCCTTTGCGTCCTGCCAGCCACCTTCACTTTCTACGTCTGCTATCTGCCTCGCGATCCTCTCCTCTGTCTCTTTCCTCCTGCCTGTTCAACTTTCCACGTTCTTCCTCGCTGTCTGCTGTCGTTCTTGCTAGCTGCGACTCTAGGTACTCGTCCATCGTTAATTTTCTACCCTTCCCTTTCCCCTTCGTTGGCCCATTTCTTGGAATCCAAGTCTGGGTGAGTCTTGACGAGGAGTAGATGGGATTTATTTCCCTTTCTCGCTGCTTTTTGTCGATATTACTGGTCGAGAAATATTTTATATCGCGGAATTTGTATTTGATACTGTAGTATCACAGGATTTCCATCTCGTGTAAAGGTAACTTTGCTCTAGAAAGTCACCGAGGGTTCGAGGACCAGGTCGGTCGGAAAAACCACAACAATGCGTCAGGCCCCTAGCATGGACATATTTGGTCATGTTGGGGGAGGCTTTTGGAGAAGATATATAAAGGAAGGCAAAAGTGGTTAATAAACAGTTCTTGGAGGTCTTAGGAGTGATCAGAACAGAGCTGCGTAGAGAGAGGTTATTAGTTGTTAGTTGTTCAGTTGTATTTTAGTCAAAACAAGCTGAGTTGCAATTGTGTCGTAGAATCGAGTTGTAGTCTTAAGTTGCAGTTGATATATAGATTCGTATGTTTAATCGTCACCATATATTGTATTGTTAACCTATTATCAAACGATAGAACAGAGTAGCAGACTTGGTAAAGTTTTACCACTCGTAAACATATTGACAGACAATTACGAAAAATGTAAAAACACTACGACCTATTGTTCCAATTGTCCAAAATCACGTCAAATGTGTTTAGACTGTTTCAACGAATACCACGCGACATAGTGTAATGTAATATTTTATCCTAAATATAAATTAATAAAAAGTATAGTATAATGTGTATATTTTTCATATTTTTATGTTGTACATCCTGTATTTATAATTCAGTGCTTATTCCATTAAATTCCTTTTAAAAATCCAGCTGAAAAATCCTACTTAACTTGAACAAGAAGAGCGTCACCCATATTTGGGTGACGGGACCCCCACGGAAGCATACCTGTCACCCAGATATGGGTGATGCGGCGAATTACCATCACCCAAGTCTCTACAATACCGTGTTTTGGGCTGGTAGTATCTGTAATGAGTAGATAAGGATTGCCCCACCTTAACGTCAGGTGATGACAACGGTGTATACAAGATCGGGTTCGACTCGAGTGTTTGGCGCGGAAAAACAAATAATGGCGACAAATCCTTTTGTGGGAATGTTTGTAGAATGATTGAGAGAGAAAGCGTGTGTATAGAATGAGATAGATCTGGCTTTAAATACGGATGCAAGGGCGCGAGGCACATAGATGGTGTGTAGTCGAGAATAGAGAATTGCGTGTTAGAGTTGAGAAGAATCTAGTGTGACATGTTAATTAAATAAATCTATTTTATTATTAAAAAAGACATTCTTTTATCAATTTTTCGCGTAACAGTATCGTCGTGTGGCGTAACGCGAGCTCCCTGTGTTGAAAGAATTGTCTAGCAGATGGGAGACAGGGAAAATATGACACCATTGATGACATGCGTAGAGAGTGGATCAAATATTACAGGGAATAATTTAATAACATTCGTAGACTCAATGATACATACGTCGATGGTATCCAAGTGCTTTGCGAGAGTAGAACGTAATTACAGTGGTGAAATATATTTTACAAATTCTCTTTAACGTTTTAAAAAAGTTTCATTCTTCTCGTCATACGACGAATTTAATCGTGTCAATGGAATTATAATTAATGTAAATCGTTTTTGCTCGGATTTAAACTGTTTCTGCTCTTCGCTCGCCTCTCCACGAAATTTATTACGTTTATCGTCCCAAACGCAATTATTTTTACTACATTTTTCTGCGCATTTTACATTTCGAAGTTCCTCATTTGCTTGCGTTTGTTCGCAGTTTCCCAAGGGATTGTTGCCCGGTAATAAATAAATAAATACACGATAATTAATACCTTTGTTTACTTATCGCATATTTGCCATTACCCTTCTTTGTCAAACTCGTATTTGTATTTACCACGTGGTGAATACAGAGGTTTCTATATATGCGAATTTATAAATAAATTGTAATAAAACGAAGGGAAGATAGATTTATCGGCTGAAAGCCAATTAGTCCATAAAAATTGGCTGAATTATTGGCAGATTACTGAAAACAATCTTCTTCTCGTATACGGAATCAGGGCCGGAACGACCTTTTGTAGGGCCAGGTTCAAAAATTTTGCGGAGCCAGAATATACATTTAAATCCGATATTTAATAAGTTAAATGCCACAACGGCCCCTAGAGATGCAATTTAATTTTTATTTTTAATTTAGTTTCCATGATATGAGGACTTTATTGAGTTACATTGTTTATAGTATCATCATTCTGTAAAAAGTTAATCAAAATTTGAGTTTTCTAATTGGAAGACTCTCTTAACACTTAAATTAAGTTTAAGTAGTTGAAGCACTCCGGTCACCAATGACCACCATGGTATCACAGGAGAAACCACGTGACCAGTCAAATATGACCAACGAGGCAGTCAAAGTGTTAATAATGCCATTCAAGAAACAAAGCAGCCTTCTGCCTAGTTGCTTTATGTTATTAGCTTATTGTATACGCGAGTGACCACTATACTAATTTAATTATTAATAAACATACCTTTATCGCGAAGAAATCCCAGCA